TAATTAAACATCCTTTTTATGTTTCCAATCCCCTTCTCTTCCTGTCTCTTTCAATCCGTTTCTCTAACTCTATATACTTTTTAAAAGCAAAAAGTTGTACAGCGTCGACGACTCTTTCAGCCTGATTCCGGGTCCCGTTGGCGCCGCATGTGCTTTAGCACCCGGCATAGGCTCGAAATCGTGAATAGACTTAGGTCAGGAAGGCGCTGCAGGATGTGGATGTGCGGACGGAAAATATACGGGGCACCATTGAAATTGCTTTCAGTGCGCGGGTGTTTTTGCATTCCCATTTCGATTTCAATTTCATTCCGCTCGACTATTTACAACAAATTTAAGTGCCTCATGGACCTTAAAGTAGTAAAGTGCACATAAGCCCCACATGGTTGCAAAATCCTATTGGTATTGTGTGACCCGACTATGGGTCTTACAAAGTATGCAATTAAATGTCACCCGAAATCTCAAGGCTCTCTCTTATTTTTAGCGTCAGTGGCCAATAAAAATTTGCTTGCCAATCGCAAAAGGTGCAGTGATAACGTAATAAGCCTCTTGCCCTTTGAACCCTCTCCCAACCGCATGGCATACATATTTTGTGAGGAAAAATTGCACGGGAAAGGGCCAGAATGGCTGTTGATGAGATGCCTTTGACTGCAGCCTTCCAGGGCCCCGATGGCATATTGTAAGAGACCCCCACATCACCACTTCGCCTTCCTCCGCTTGGTGAGAATGCAAAAGAAAAGCGGTGAAAAGCAGCTGCCGCCGTCGCGTTCAAGCTGAGTGAGTGATGTGGCAACAATTTTTTATGCGTTTGCAGCGAACAGCAGTATACTGCATCTACAGTGGGGATTGGCTAAGGCCTAAGGCGTAGATGAGGCGTGGAGAAAGTGGAAAAGCTGGAAAACATAAACGGAATTGCTTTTTCTTTGTTTAAAGGACATACAAAAATTAATTTTCTACAAGACATCAAATTTGTGATGTTTTAAAAACCATTCATTTCATAAGTATTTTCATTTAATTTTCTTATATTGTTTATTACTTTTTATTTGAACAGCTGCAAGAAATAAGAAGCTGTTTAAGTATGAAACTAAAAAATGTAAGCGTACTTTTCTGTTTGTTTGACTTAAAATGTATTTATTTGTGTTCCCTTGGGTCTATTGTTTCTGATAATAGTTTGCACTGCAGTGAAGAAGACATTTTCTTGACCACCGTCTGTCCGTTCTTTTTTACGCAAATTAGTCTGGATGAAGCCAAAAAATCTTCTTATCATAGGTAGTGTTTAAGACGACTATGCCATAACCAGTAAAGTAAGTGAAACACATTTTAATCTTGCTGTTTTTAAGCATACTACTAAAAACTTTTTAAACTGAAAGGGTAAATCGACATTAATACATTTTTTTAAATTAACGTGTTTAAGAACGACCAAATTATTTAATTATTTTTAATACGTAAGCCCTGTCGTTAATAGACGTTTTTTAGAATATTGCATTTTCGTTATAGCCGCAGGGGTATATAAAGTTCTGTTTGCCACAGCTTGCGTTCTTTCTTGTTTTTTTCAAGACTACATTACTTAATTATTATTATAGTTTTTTCTTCCAGTAAGCTTAGCCTTTAATCCTTTCGCAAAAAATTTGAAAGCATCATCTTCTGCTTTATGGCGCAATTAAAATCTTAGCTCAGAAACTTGTGCGCATTGAGTCGACAGAGTCAGAGACAGCTAAAACGGATGAAAAGTTCAGGGTCTAATTGAAGAGCCCGCACATGAATTAGACTGGCCCGAAAGCTGATGATTAATGAATGATTTATGCGCTGGAAAGTGTGTCGTAATTAGCATATTATGCAAATCAAGGAAACCAGCAGAAAAACTGACCAGAAAGCTTTCGCCTTCGGATAAACGGGCGAGAAGGTCTAGTCAGATTAATTGCTGTCATTCAGCTTGTGTTTTCAATTACCATGCAGCACGCTCCATTTGCTCGAGTCTATAAGCGGGAAATGCTTTTCTCAGCCCTCATAAGTATGCAGGCCGTCTGTGTTTGTTTGTTTTAGCTTCCAGCCGAAACCGAGCTAATGTTTAATAATTGCTTTGTTGTAATTAAAACTTTCTGTCAATGTTTACGCTGTGGGGTAGAGTTTCCGAAGGAGAATCCACTCCATCGCTAACCCCTTGGTGAATACTTTAATACCGAATTTCCCGATTGCATTCGAAAGAGGCAGAAAAATTCGTAAATGCTAATTTGTATCTGTGTTGCGGTTGAGTGGCCTGAGTGGAGCCAAATCCACCGAGCTAAGTCCATCCGATCCCTACTCAGTGGCGGCGGCACGTACTGTTGGCCAGGAAGCAGTCAGCTGAGAGCCCAGAACCGCATTCTTGGCCAGCCTTGGCATATCCCATTATTATGCAAACCGCAGCCCAAAGTTTCCTTTCCTTTATTTTACTTTGCTCCTTCTTTGGATTCTGCGAGAGTTTTATGGGTCTCAAAATAATTTTCATCACGCCCGCTGATTGATTGATTGGTAGGGGGTGTCCCCAGCCCGTTTTGGGGCATTCAATTAAATGAATGCATTAAAATTTATATGCGTCAAGTAAGGGAGTGAATGAAAAGCCTGAAATTGTGCATGCCAGATGAAAGCATTGAATTGAAATTATTTCCTCTTGATCGAATTCAGTGCTATTGTGTTCGTTAAGAGTCTATGAGACCATATTATTTTGCTGAAGTAGCTTTTAGGCTTAGGGAAGCAATTAGTCGGCATTTAATCGGGGCATCGAGGCGTATGCGTTATGGAAACGAGAATACCGCAATCAGTTGAATAGTTTTATGGGGCGCATACTTGATTTTGGTTAAATAAATATTTGCTTGGCCTGTGAATGTCTGGGTAAACAAATTTAATTGTTTGGCTGTGGCAGCAGGGCGTATACGTTATTTAAAATGAGACTTTTATGGATGGACTTTAGATGTTTATTGGTCGAACGATTGAAGCTCAGCGGGCGCCGAGAAAGCTATCCACAGAAAGCACAAGCAAACTCATTCATTAAATCACACAGCATATTAATGCAGATGAGCCACACAACTTGCAACTTAATTTGTATATTTAATTATTTTTCAATCACCATTTTAATTGATTTACGCGACAACATCATTTTCAATTCCGCGGCCACGTCGCAACGTTTCGTATCGGGGCTTTATGTGTCATTTCAATTCGGTGACCAAACATCTTCGGGAGGACAGCGTAAATCATTGCCAATTTAATTGAAAAGATAAAACATTACAAATATCAATATTTCATTGATTACATTGGCAGGCTTAACTGCATTAATTTTGACGGCCGTATAAAGGTTTCCTCCCTTCAGTTTTTTTGTTTATTTATTTTTCTGCGGCTTTATTGAAGGTAAATAAAGTGCCACATTTTACCTCAATGACAAACACAATTGTCCGAATCAGATAGAAAGCCGTGGTTCACGGTACTTAGACAAGGTAATCTCTTTATGTCCTTTCGATTTCGTCAAATACCTAATAGATTTAATTGATATAACGATTATTGTCTTGGAAGATTTGTTGTAACTTTCTTTAAGTTAACTATGCGAATGATTAAATTTTGTACAGTTTTGTATTAAAACCAAGAACTTTTAAAGTATGCGACTTATACAAAAAGAGAAAGTAAAGCAAAATAAGAGCCAAAGCTTAAAGAGTTGAGTGGCGCCTTGACAGACAGGAAACAAAATACAAAGTTCTGAATTATTAAAAATGCTTTTAGAGCTGTTCGAGCCCTTAACCTTCGTTTAGTAAATGATGTCGGTCTGTAGGTTAAGTGCAGACCGCATGTATATCTATATGTATAAATATATTTTCATATGAACATGCACATATGAACGTGAATTTTGTATCTGTGTCAAAGTCTTATTGAAATTTTCATGAGCAGCAGTTCGAGCAGATAATATGGCCTGCCTTTTGATTAGATTTTATGTAAATACTTTCTGGGCAACGAACCCTAAAGATAGAAGCGCTGGGTCTTGGAAAGAGCAACCGCAGACCGGAAAAATCAAATAAATAAATAATCATGCTGTTGGCGCGAAAGTAAGCCGCGCTTTTCAAATTGGTATAAATGCGGCACGCTTGGAGACACAAAAACCCCCCGGGTTGCCGCCCCCAAGGGGCGTATAGCTGGGATTTTCGCCACGCGATTGTGCTAAGTCTGTTACTTAAAAGCCACAACATGAAATAAAATAATAATCATGCCGTTGAACGACGACTCCCCAGCCCCACAAGACCCATTTTGACACCTAAAAGAGCAGCCTTGCCTCAAGAACTTTGTTAGTGGCCCGCACTCGGGAGCTGTGCCGTTTAATTAATTTAAGGTGTTCAAATAATACATGGCGTCGCACTTGGGAAATTTTCTTTCATTTTTTCCTATTACACATATGTTTCTCCTTGGTTTTCCTAGTGTGAAATGTTTCTTTATTTTTAAGCAGGTGCTTAAGCTATGTACATTTTGTGCAAGCAAGGAAATCAGTTTAAAAAAATATGATGGGTGAAGAAAAACAAATTTTTGCATTGCTCTTAATGAGCGGAGATATCTTTTGAAGAATATTTGATTGATAAATACTTCATTAAAACGGAACTACTTTTTATGTATATAGGACCAATTTAAATTTCCCTTGTTTTATTTTTATATATTTTTTTTTAAGAATTATAAAACTTTAATCTTTTTAATTTTGGTGTTTGAAGCTAATGTGTTTTTAGAAATTTTATGAAAATCGGTAAACAGTTTTTGAAACTCAAATTATAAGAACATTTTCCAAAAATACCTTTAATTTTATAAACACATTATATTTTCAAGCTGTTTTAATTGTCAATGACTCCTTTGATTGCCAATTAATATAAAATCGCTGATTATACAAAATTTCGATTAATTTCAAAACAATTTAAGCAAACAAACATGCAAAATTTTTATTTCCCAGAATTCCTCATCCGAAATTCATGCTAGTTTTTTTCCTGTATACTGCTTACCTGCAATACCAATTATATATTTCTGGTCGAGCCTTGCGGCTTCCTTTGAGTTTTCGTGCCACTACCACAACACCTTGAAAACCGTCTATGGTCTCCCGCTTTGAGCTGCAATTGCCGTAAACATTTTGTTGGACTTTTCATTTGATTATGCTTGAGTGAGATTGCAAGTTATAATTGTTGCCAATTTATTTATTACACAAGAACGAATTCTGTTAATTGGTTTAGCCCGACGTTTGGAAAACACATTTGCGAAATTTTTGGCTTCGCTTCGCTAGCACGCGCAGGCCAACGGAGCCAAGGAAACTTTTTCACTGAAACTTAATGCTTGGCTTTCCTTTCCTGTGCGTAATAAATCGATGAGGATCGAGAGACAATCGAATCGGAATCAGTTTGCGTTGACTTCGTCGGAAAGTTGTTATTGGCTGGGCAATTGTCACTTGAACTATTGAGGGAATCGTTGAACTGGCACCCAGCTACTGCCGCATCGGCGCCAGAGTCACGAGAGATGGAAGAGCTGTTTCCCAGAGACGCCGCCTGCTTACCGCCACTCGCGTCCACACCCAACGCCAATTCGCACGGAACTGAACACTGAACTGACAGCGTTCCCGTAGTCCGTCCTTAAACTTTAGCCACCCGCAACAGTTCGCCGCCGTTTGGCCGTTTGGCCGTACGTCGGCTCTTAACCGGGCCGAAACAAATCGGGTCGGGTCGGAACGAGTGGACCACGTCGGCAAAGCAGTGCACGGCTCTCTTAGCGCGGCTCTCTTAGTTGCCAAACTGTTGATTCACTTCGGAGTCCAAAAATCTATTGACAGCTGTTAAGACAAATAAGGGTTTAGCAGAACGTTTGGCTTTGACTCGCATCTTTTTATTAGAACCTTTAGAATAAAGGAGTTCTGACCCCATAAAGAAGCGATATGAGGAATCTATTAAACAATTAAAGTTTTGACGGATTAATGTGATGTGAAATAAATAATAATTACAATAATAACATAAAGTTAAACGAAACAAACAGTAATAAAACAACCAATAAAGAAATCAGAAAGTTTCGTTCATTTTTTTAAAATTGTGTTTATTGTTTCAAGACATTTTTTATTAAAAAACCAAATGAATGTATTTGCTAGCCAAAACCACACTTTTTTCGATTTTAATTTTTTTTTTTAGAAAAAATCAAGAATTAAATTTCTTGATACTTTTAACAAAACTGAATACTCGAACAAAATAAATTTTTTTTAATTTTAAAGTAAGTTTTAAAATATTTAAAGAGCCAACTTTAGCGCTAATATCGGCGAGGCTTAAATTTTGCGATGGCAAAGCCAATATGACACCTTTACCAGCTTCAGTCATTTTCGACATGTTTCACTTTTTTTTTTGTGCACCAAAAGCTATAAAGTCCATACCCCAGGTGACAGGATTTTTTTGTAATACATGGTAAAACAAGGTGAATATGTAAGTTATATGACAGAACGTACATAAGTACTTTTCAAAAATAGTGGCTTCAACGTACAATTTATTCAAAAATTTGCCAAAACTAAACTATTGGGTATTCGGGTTATTTGGTTACATACATATTATTGCTGAAAGCACTAACTTAAGCAATATTGTCAAACGGTCTTTAAAATCAAAAGGACCAGAAGAATGAGGTAGTACAAGCTTGACTTGCACTTTATTATTTGGATGTAAAGGAATGTGATTGTTTAATACAAAAGTTACTTTAAATAAATAAAACCTTTTCGCCGAATAAGAGGAAACCAACAAGCTTCCCTTTACGAACGAAAAATCTTGTATATGTATCTTTCCACTTTTTCTTCTCGGCAAATGTTTGGTAGCTGCTCTGGGAAAATGGCATTTATCTGGAGAAGTGTACAGAAGAGTAGCTGCAAGAAGTGACAATTCACATCAGACATTCATGGGTGCATAAGTGTTGTTGTTGTTACTTTCACACTCCGTAGTTGCAATGATACAATAATTTGCAGTTGTTCTTGCAGGTTGTGTTGGCTCCAGGCAGGAAACTCAATTATCTTGCAGCATGAGTCTGAAAAAGATGAGAAGTGTTGTCTGGTTTAATACGAAGCTGCAACCTTTCGGCTAGCCGGATATAATCTAAGTCTCAGTTGCTCTGAGACATCCAATGCGGTCCCCTGATGAGCGGTTTCCTTCTACCGCAACTACCGCACCTTGCTGTTCTCAATTAAAGTTTCAGAAGTTGCATGCCAAAGCGAATTATCCTGCATGCAGGCGTCCTCACAAATGGAAGCCGTTGGAAACAGTGACAAAAAGTAAATGACAAACTGTGTCGAAGGTCCTGGCCAAATCATAGTGCCAAGTGTGCAGAAGAGGGGTTGGGATAGTTCTTCATAAGCTTTGGTAGTCTGTCATAACAAGGCCAGCATATTTAAGTGTGTAATTCACATGTGGATTGCCGCTTGACAGACAGGACGACACTGCACTATGGAAAAAGTTCCCGCTTTTTCAGCCCATTATAACTTTCTCATGAGTCTTTACACTTTTTTTTTTACTGTCATGTTAGTATTTTAAAAAGATATTTATATTTAATATAATTAATATATATACAATTAATATATATTTACAATACAAATTTTAGCAGTTTGCGACACTGTTTATTTATTAGACAGCTTTCACGCAAAGTGCTACTAAAAAAATATTTACTTTTGGTAAATTTAACATTTTTCAGTTATTTTGTATTTGATTCAAATTATATTTCTATGTTGTAGCCAAATAACATTATTTAAAGACTTATTTTTAAAAAGAGGTACTTTTCTCCTTTGTTTAACATAAACTTTGTTGTTAAGCTGTTAATTAATGCTACAAGAATCGGTAATTTTTCATAGTGCACGGTTTCATAGCATCGACTCACCTCAATTACACACTTACAGATGTCTGTCTGTGTTTATGGGTCAGGTAAGTTTTGTATTTCACTCCGCATCGAAAAAAAAACGGCAGCCCGAACACACATAACAGATGCTCATTGCAAGATCCGTAATTTCAACTCAAATTCAAGACTTCAAAAATTGTGCTTTTAAACAGAAATGATACTCTAAAATGGCAATAATTTTATTTGTGGGTTAAATATGGTAAAACAGAATGGTACAGAAAGACTTCCGAAATGCAAATGAAACGCTTAGTAGTTCAAGAGATATATTTGCTACTTTGGTTTCAATAAATGCAGTCTAATACCTACAGTTCAATGGTACCAAAAAGGAAACCATTTCCTTAATTTGACCCGAGTGGAATTTCCACAAATTATTTCACATTTCACTACGACTGTCAACCCCCAACAAATAATAATTTATCTTCGAGCACAAAAAATTCAATGTGAAAAATGAAAAGTTGCAATTACAATGGCTTGGATCGATAGTTTGCCAATATACATATGCATATGAATTCTATGCAGTATCTTGTGCCTGCTGTATTGCTGTTGCCATCCGATTGTGTTTGTAGTTGTTTATGGCACAAATGAATTGGCATCTTTGGAATACTTTCGGTTTGCCTGGCCAGCGGAGGATTTCCACGTTTTCCCCTTTGCTCTGCCAGGCCATTTTCCACTTTCCACTTTTCCGTCGCCGCTCTTTTTCACTGCATAATCGCCAGAGATGTTTTCCTGCTTGCTTGCTATTCTGGGGCTTGGGTTTTGCGCTCTGGTGTGTTTGTGTGAGCGTTCTGGCAATGCATTGAACCAGAAATATGTAGATATGCCAATGAGTTCCTTTCATTTTTGGACCCCTTTGTGTGCCATTTGCCGTTTGTAAGAGTGTGGCGCCAAAAAGTGGGTCTCGAGTTTATTTCAGCAGCTTTAAGGCAAGAATTTCCTTTAAACAATTAGCCTGAAAGCCCGTAGTCTAACTGAATAATTCAATCTTTGTGGCACTGTTTCAGTTTTTTGCCATCGTAGTAACTCTCAACAGTTTTTTCAAAGTGTATTTTTTTAAACGGTAAACCATTATGAGCCAACTACATTTACGTTTTCTTTACAAAGACATTGGCTCTAAGCTCAATGGCAAAACAAACAAATGGAGATATTCCAATACGACCAAATCTAGATTCATTTTATGAATGCGGACCAAAAGAATCCGCTTTTGTGGCTGCGGAATCTCATAAAAGATTAGCCACAAAAATGTTTTAGCCTCAGTTGCGGCTTCTTTTAATTATGCGAACAGGGATTTCTTTCCTTTCGCCTCTTTTGTGCGCCCTGTCGGCACACGAAATGCTAAAGTTGATGGCAGTTGGCTCAAGGAATTCCATTTGGCCTGAACGCAATAAAACAATTTAATTAAATTTTATGTGATCCAAGTGAAAGTAAATGAAAGCAAATAAACCACAATAAACTCGTGGCAGATGGCACATATTCCGGGTGCCCAGGCTGGCAATGGATTCGGTCTATCTCCATGTGGCAATTATGAGCTTAATGGTGTGTCTAGGTCCGTATCCTCATCCGTCCCATGCATTTTCAATTTGCCACAAACTGTCACTCATCATCGGGACAGAAGAGCCCGGCCATCGTGATCTGTTCTTTCGGTCATTGAAAAACTTTGGCTTTAAGCAACTGTTTGCCAAACATTTCACTCCGCTTCCTTGGTTCCTGTGTGTTTCTGATTTATGCATGTGTTTAAAATGCTTAGCCAGGGCATAAATCGTTGGCAAACTTTATGCTTGGCCTGACTCCTCCACAATCTGATTCTCAGCCACTTTGGCCCGACCATCCATCCGACGCTCTTCCTGTTTTGGGATCATTGACCACTATTCTGTTTGTGTTTATGTTCTGGCCTAGAAATTTCCTTTGTTTGCTGATTGAAATTGACTTTCAAGAGGCGCCAGTTGGCCTACTGAGCGAGAAGGCCACCGAAAGAGCCGCTTCAAATTGAGTGATGGACTGGCTTCTTGCTGGGTCACTGAAAAGGTCAGAGCATTAGGAATGTGCCGTATTCAAAATGATTCAACTCATTTGTCGGGGCATTATCCATGACAGGAATTTATGCATATCCCTAGCATTTATACATGTGGGTATCATAAACATTTGCTATCAGAAGTTTTTCAAGAAAACTTTATTACTGCCACTTTGAAAACAATAGAGTTGACCATTAATAAGCCAAGTAAATTATTATTTTTAAACATACTTCAACAGTTTTCTAAGCTAATCTCTAAATGGTTTCACCTGCTATTACTGTTCTCGCACTTGGCCAATTAATCCTTATGACGAACTCACTTCTGCCTAGTAAATGGGACTTATCGTATTCAAATGTATGTCTTCAGCCTCAATTAGTTATAAATACGAGTCCACTTGAACAGTGCTCGACCATGATTATGGGAATATATCAAGCACACGCCAGGTGGTACTGGAATGACTGTCGGTTGAAGCCACCATTTGTAAGACGTTTTTGTAGGAGGATTGCGAATGTCAAGGGTGCTCGGGGTTAGTTCGAAAACAAAGCCAATTAACAGCGGCAACAACAACGCATTGCTGCTCAAGTTGGCCAATACAAGCGTCTTTGGTCCCATCTCCTGGCAACTAATCCCTCCAAAACTCTGTCCATATTGATTGTGTGGAGTTTGACAGGCACGTATACAGGCAGCTAGATGAACTCGGTCAGAGATTGGAAGAAACCTGAAGTTCAAGAAGCGCATTGAATTAGTCCTGATTTCGATTCGTGCGGCACGTTTCTTCAACGCGTTTCTAGTTCTTATTTGTTTTCCTAATTTCCTACGATTTTTTTCGTTTTTGCTCAGTCTTAAAACTCATATTGATTTGAATTGGCTACCCTTAGATTTATGTTGACAATACATTTAATATTGATATATATAGTTAAGTTAATATTACCTTCCTAATAAATTTGGGTTTAAATTAAATGGTTTATTATATTAAATTAATGGTTTATTATTTCAGAATTACGAATTAAGTTTGACCAAATTTAAATTCTCATGAAAACAATCGGAATATTAAGAGAAATATATGTATGAAAAAAACGTTTCTAGTTTTCAATTGTGTTTTTAATTTCTTTTGGAAATAGGTATGGGTTATTCATTTAAAATTACGCTTTTAATTTTATTCAAATTGGATTACGATATCATACTGCTGCAATAGGAATGATCGAATATTTGAGCTGAAAGCCATAATAGATTTAATGTTTTTAAGCATAGACTCGTATAGTTCGAAACCTAGATGTTTTAAAGAATATTTAATTTTTGCAACAGATGCAAAGGTTAATAAAATTTCGGCTTGACGAAGTTTCATTCCTTTCTTGTTGAACCTTTATATCAGTCAAACGGGTTAATTTATACAATTTTTTTTTTATTTGGATTGTTGGATTTTTTCTTAATTTTTTGATTTTAAGATGTTTGCACCAAAACCTATTAAAAAAGCATATTTTCATTGTTACACAGTTATAATAAGCGTCTTTTTAATAATTTACAAACGGGGAAAAATAGTCTTAAAAATAAATAGAGAAATTAAAGACATTTTTGTAAGTTTGATGCTGGGCTTTTTGTTAAGTATAGAAATATATTATTTTTCTTTCTAAATACAAAACATGTATACCCCTTGCAAGAAAATACAATGGAAATGGATATTATTCTATTTGGATAATTGGAGGCGTTCGGCGATAAAGTACCATGAAATGTCAGGCGTCTAATCGGTTTAGTTCCACCGGGCTGTATGCGGATAGGCAATGTACACGTTGCGATCGTGGAAAACCCATCTAAGACCACCTGAATTCGCAGAGCTATGAAGATCTCCCTGGCAAGCATCTGCATCGTGACGCTGGCGCTGCTGCTGTGCTGCTTCACAGTGGAAACGGAAGCCAAGAAGTGTAAGGCCCCTCTCAAGTGGAACGCAAAGCTAAAGAAATGCGTGAAGGGAATGGGAAAGCCGAAGAAGAAGCCAGCTGGCGGAACAGGTGCCACAACGGCAGCGGCAGCGACGACATCAGCCGCAACTACTGCAGCTCCGGCGTAGAACCCTTTAACCTAAGTGATCCTGCACGAACCAATAAATGGGATGAGGGACAGAGTTCCCTCTGAGGCAGGAAAATGGAACCCCAAGTAAAGACTTTTCCTTTGATGGGCAAATAAAGGGTTCTCCAGTTTGAAAGCTAGACCTCTGTGTCGACTCTTCCCCGAGGAAATTGAATAAGCCCGGCCAACGGAGCATCTTCGAGTAAAGAGTGCTGGAATCGCAATAGGAGCCCTTCCTATTAGCTGCACTCACAGCATGTGTGTCATGCAAAGAAATGGAAATGCCACTGCAATCCAGCTCCTCTTGGGTCCCTCGCGTGCGCTTAAACGGTGGCTTGGGGTATTTGAGTTGATTGAATTTGAATTGCATGGCAGGCGGGGGCAGAAAATATCCTATGTGTTTATGGAGAACTTGAGGCTTAGTGCTGGCTCTGCTAGCCAATCCTTCCTCCAAATAGTTTCTCTTTTACGGTCGAGGTTCGACAGCTTGCTGAGCAAAAATCCTGTTGCCAGATTTGTTACTGCTGTCAAAAACATTTTATCTGCACCCGGGAAAGGCATTTAATTCAACAAAAAATCTTTAAGGTGTTTCGTATTAAAAGAAGCCAAAAGCTGACTCTTTCGTTTTACCCATAATGCGTTGAATTTAATAAATAGCTTAAGAAAATTTAAAACGACTCTTTAAATCAGAATACGGATGAACAGCTGGATAAGCCGGCTTTCCTGTAATTAATATTCAATTCATTGGCAATAAAGTCAAAATTCGGGGGCATCAATCAAGAATGATAGTTTTTATGCACCAAATCGTTTCCAAAATTTTGAAAAACCCGTTTAATTTAATTAAGTTTAGTTTAATTTTTTTCACTATATCGTTACAAAGCTATTTTTTAGGGCTGTTTACGCGATTGGCAAATTCTTTTTAATTTCGAGTCCTTAAAGCTTTTCAGATTACCTAAATTTTGGGACTGAGGGTAATACCATTTTTCGTCACAAAATTTGATTTTTTTGTTTTGTTGAAAAATGGGTTCGATCGGACGGTCCTTTTGGTCTTTAACAAACAAGTTGCAATGTTGGGGAAAATTAATAACGACAAAACATTTAAATTATCATCTCGTTGTTTTTTATAGCGATTACAAAACGCAATTTTTTTGTGCTTCACCCTGTGTATATGAACAATCAATCCCACGGCAGATTAAAAAAAATTTCTTCTAGTTATTCGAAATATTTTGCAGTTCAACGAAGTAAATGATATTATAGTCCGATGGTTTCAACATCTTTATTTATGAATGAAAAAAGTATGGGCATTCGAATTTTAGAATCGAGAGTCGGACTGGACACTAAACTGTTTCTTATCGTTTTATTGTGTAATTGTAAAACGAAAAAAACACAACGGAATATAGCAACTCTACCAGCCTCGAAAGATTGATAATATTGCCTAACACAAAAATAGTTTTGTTCACTTATTTGTTTGCCTAAAACCTTGTGTATGCAGATCTGTTGTAAATTGAGGTATGCTTACCCCTACCAGCAGTCTGTATTTCCTAGCAATATCTCTCATTCCTCTACTTAAAATTGTAACTAAAAATACTTTTGGCTAAATTTGTATCTATACCTTCTTCATTTCGATCCTCAAAATTAAATTTCAATTAAATTCTGCACAATGCTTCCTATCGACCCTCACAACGAGATGGCCTACTCCTTCGTCGTGTTCGGAGCCTCCGGTGGTCTGGCCAAGCAGAAGGTGTTTCCAGCGCTCTGGGCCCTCTACCGGGAGCATCGTTTGCCGCAGGGCTTCAAGATATTCACCTTCTGCCGGAGCCACCTGCAGACGAAGACCCTGCGGCTGCAGGTGCTGCCCTACATGGACCTGGACAGGGGCAGGGACCCGAAGAAGTACAACCTCTTCTGGACGAACGTGCACTGTGTGCAGGGCGAGTACGACAGGCCGGAGCACTATGTGGCCCTCAGCGAGGCAATGGCTCGCCAGGAGGCGAAGCACGGCCAGGTGCAGGCGAACCGCATCTTCTACCTGGCCCTGCCGCCGATCGCCTTCGACCAGGTGACCCTCAATGCCAGCCGCAAGTGCACCTCCTCCTCGGGCTGGACCCGGATCGTGGTGGAGAAGCCCTTTGGCCGAGACGACGTCTCCTACCGCGCCTTCCAGACCTCGCTGTGCAACAGCTTCCGGGAGTCGCAGATCTACCTGATGGACCACCTGCTCAGTCGCCAGGTGATGCAGAACTTCTTCGCGCTGCGCTACTCGAACCACCTGTGGGCCGAGACCCTGAACCACCATCACGTGGCGGCGGTGATGATCTCGGTGAAGAGCGAGCTGCCGGTGTCGGCCGCTCGTGCGGACTACTTCAATCACTTCGGCATCATCCGCGACCTGATGACCAACCACATGTTGCAGGTGCTGGCCATGCTGACCATGGACCAGCCGTACGCGAACACCGCCGACGACCTGCGGGTCGAGCGGCTGAAGGTCCTGCGCCAGATCCTAACCCCCACCATGGCCGACGTGGTGCTGGCCCAGTACCGCAACAATGGACGCGAGGCGGACCCGGCCAAGTGCGGCTTCACGGAGCACAGCTTCGTGCCGAAGGACTCCTTCACGCCCACCTTCGCCCTGGTGGTGCTGCGCATGAACAACCGCCGCTGGACCGGCGTGCCCTTCATCCTGCGGGCCGGCCAGGCCCTGAACGACACCAAGTCGGAGGTGCGCATTCAGTACAAGCCGACGGACTGCGACGTCTTCCACGGCGAAAGCGCAGACGCGCGCAACGAACTGGTCCTGCGATCCGCGCCCACGGAGGAGCTCTTCATGCGCGTGCGCCTAAAGCGGTACGGCGAGGATCTCTGCCTGCGCGAAAGCGAGATCAATCTGCGGGTGGACGAACGGCGTGGATCCGGGGGCGTCGATGGCTACACCGGCTCCCTGCTCAACGTCATCCAGGGCGACCAGACCCTCTTCATGCGCACCGACGAGCAGTGCGAGATCTGGCGCATATTTTCCCCCATCCTTAGCTCCATCGAGTTGGACCGCCCCCGGCCGCTGCACTACGACTTCGGGTCCCGGGGTCCGCTGCAGGCCTACCGCCACGCGGAGCGTGCCGGCTTCGTCTTCTTCGCCTCGGACGAGTGGCACCAGAGCGAGGCGACGCTGGAGTACACGCTCAAGCGGAGCAAGCAGCTCATCGGACCCCACACCGCACTCAAACCGATCCGGGAGCCCCGCTCGAAGCTCAGCTCCAAGTCATAGGGCTGTGGGAGGGCTAATGAAATCTAGAACGAAAGTTTTTTAATTAAGCAAGTGCTGAATGCAGGACTACACCAGCTGGCCACCGCTTCACCTTGACCGCCCCACTAGCCTAGACCTTAACTTAACAACACTTTTCCTCCAGTTCGGTGGTCTTGTACACTGCACTTGCTGCCAATGTTTCTGGGTAGGATGTTGCCCCGGGGGGTGTGCAACACGCATGGCTTGGCCATTGTCCCTTGGACTAAGGATTGCACGGAGCAACCATGGCGGCCTTTGAATTCCCTAGGAAAGTTATGTATACTTAAAATTGTACTTAGAACCCTTTGTCATTCGTAATAAAATTTAAAAATGTAGTTGAACAAAATATAACTTTTCTCAGTTTTCTTAAAAATATTTCGATTGAGCATATTTTAAGTCCAGATTCGCCAGATTATTTTCGAAAGACAACGTTAAGTTTTTAGTGCCTACTCCTGAACACTTTTTGAAGTGGTTTCTGTGTGCAACTCCATATAACTGATATAAAAAGAAACAAACACTTGATTTAATGAGCACTTAATCAAATTAGATGTAAGCTAAACTTTAAAATGTTGGGATAATGGAATCGGATACCTCAATAAAAAGCGTTAAGAATTTGCAGCTCTTTATGATTTAATAAAAAAAACGTTGTTTCCGAATCCGAATTGCTAATATACCGAACTCTTTTTAGTTCCGACATCCTTGTTTATTCAGTGGTCCTCTTGCCGGGCAGTTGGTCAGTTGCTGCTAAACTGGCAAGTTCCCCGCTTCGGGAAAAGTTTTCAATAACTATAGAGCAGTTGATGAAAAAAGTACACATATAAAAGTATACCCAAAGGGGGGGAGAAAACAGTTCGCACTAGTGGAGAAAGTTACTTTGATTTCTTGAGCGCAACTTTGGCTAAGAAACTTTGAACTGCTCAATCACCAGACTTTGACTTCTTGTTTACCCCGTAAACTTTACTGCGGTCACTCGCTGATGATGATGATGATGATTCCGCGCTGATTCAGCGAATATTCGAATGTAAATTGGCTGCGGAAATGTCTTCCGAGGAATACAGTCTAATAAGGTAATGCACTAAGGGGCTAAACGGCATTGTTATCTTTGGCATACGTTAGCTTAAAAGATATTCGGGCCACGAAATCGGGGAGAAATTTCCCTCTTCCCTGTTGATTTTCCATGACCTTTGTTGCTCTGTGCTGGTGCCGCCCACGCATATGCTTTGTGCTATTTTCCTTTCTCTTCGCTTGTTTTTCTCGCTTTTTGCTTCCTTCGGCAGCAAAAAAGCCAAATAAAAAGATTTTTCTCCCCGGAAAGACTCCGACGCTGCGTCTGGGCCATAAAAATCATTAAAAACAATATTGTCGCTTTCAATTGGGATTGCCTTCACAGTTTATTTATTTTATTTGCCTTCCTCCTGCCGTTGGCGTTTCTTTCATGTGGGACTTCTGCCTTTCCGCTTGGCTGTTTGTGATTGCCTATTTAATTTCCCATAAACATAATGGGGGGAAAAGCGTCGTTAACCGATTAAATAATTTGGGTAAAACAGATACCTGACACACCGCAGGTGCAATCTCAGCCGGATTAGATATGCGTACGCCGCGTTGAGCGTAACCCAAGCTGTACCTAATCGACCCTGGCCAAAACTCGGTGCGAGCCCAATCTTGGCGAATCTCTGACATGCCTCCCTTTGCCAGTTCAAAGCTCGGAGGAGCTGCCTTCCACGCTCCTGAACCCACCGCACACATGACTGGCATGCTTCGCTGTCGGGTTAGTACTTCCGATTGCACCATTTCACTTTTT